TTTTTCCTCATAAAGTTGCATGTAAGCTTCATTTTAAAGAGAAGAGAGCCCCTAGGTTTCATTCAATATTTAATTTGGATTTTATACTGCTCTTAACATGGAGTAATTCAGTCAACGTAATATTTTGGATGGTAAAAAAGTTCAAACATGAAAATTCCATTTGGACTGTCTGTGCTGCATGTCAGAAATCTCTAAGGGTATTTAATCATTCAGAATAAGAAAGGTTTCTTTAATTTTTAACCAAGTATTTCATTTTATGTTTTATTTAAATTGTCTTAACATTTACATAGAACCCCTTGAAGGCTTGAAAAGTTGAAATTTCTTAGACAAAAAAAATGTTTTTGAAATGTATGTGGAGATGTAGGAAGAAAATGTAGTGTTTGAATATGAAGATACTCAAGGTAATTTCAAAATGTGGCTTGCAAAATGATTAATTTATATCACAATTATTTGTTTAAAAGGAACTAGAAACCAGATTCCCCAATAATTTTTTTGATAATGCTGCCTTCCAAAATAGCATGAATATTTATGAGTGATATATATGAGAAACTCAAAGTTGCAACAGGGAAGTTAATTATTGCTTATGAGACAAGGGAATTATAACCATAGGGATAATTTCTCTTCCTTATGATGAGATAGAAATTCTTGGAATTATTCAGGAAACATGGGCTAAAGAAAGTTTACTTTCTGCTGCTGCTAATGACAGCTTTTAGGAAAATTAATGAAGATAGCAAAGTCTAAACATTTCAGCGTGTTTAACATCACCAGCTTCATGGTAAAACGTTGTACAGCCTAGTCTGGTCCACAAGGAAATGACTTGGCAACATTGGGTAAGTGTGGGATGCAGCCCTCAGCGAGTAAAGTGGTGTGCACTATCTGTGGGAGAGGAAAGGGATGATCCCTCTGGATGTCCTGGAACCCAGACAAACCAGCAATTCTGACTACCAGAGGTGCTGACTAAGCTGAAGGCTTGAACTTCCAGTCAGGATGGGGAACGTAACAGCCTTTCTCTCTCATCATGTTAATGCCAGTTTGAAGGCTGTGTAGCACTTTACCAGTTTTGGCTAAATAGTGTTGTCCAGATTTGGCACCTTCTTACTTCCATCTGTTTGGGCCAATGAAAGATGAGCTGCATGGGCAACATTTTCCTAGCAGTGACGCTATCATAACAGCTGTAAAACACTGGATCACTGCCATGTTTGCAGATTTGTACAAGTGCAGCATAGAGGCTCTTGTTCATCACTGGCAAAAAATGCATAGCTACTGGCAGTTGAAAAATACTGATTTGTAGCTATTGTATTTTCCTCGGGGGAAAAAAAATGGGAGGCATTACTTTTGGAGCAACCAATGTATTTAGGGTGACAAAACATTTCTGAGATCTTTATCCTGTAAGTTTCTTTTCATCTTTACTCTTCCAGCATTTCATGGCTGGGAGGAACCTCTGGCTAAACTTGACAGGATTTCACTGTGTTTATTCCTTTATTGCAAGTTTAGGATATATGTTTGCTGGCTGTTTTTTGTTGTTGTTGTTTGTTTTGTTACTGAATTGTTCAAACTGATACTCTAATTTAATATGCTTATGCTCTCTGAATTGGCACAATTTATTTTCTACCTGCTGTGGAGGCGGAAAGTGTCTTGTTAGTCTTGTGTAGAAAAGATGCTCCATTTAATTTTAGTTTTTCACTATAACCATTTGCTGAAGAATAACTCTTCAGCAGCATTCCGTGGTCTTTGGAAAGCATTCTTTGTGTGTACAATTTAGGGCAAATATAACAATGTAAATAAAAATACCATGTATATTTAAAAACAATGATTCTGTAAGTAAATATACAAACATTTCAGAACATACTTCCTTTTCAGCTCCAAATGTCTTTCTCCAGTGCAATCAGGGATAGATCAGCAAGCATTTACTCTGCTTTCTTATTTTAAACTTTGGTATGTGAAACATTGTTGAATGATTGATTATTACAGTGGCTAATTCTATGCAGTTTTAAAGGAAAAGCCCAGTATCAGACATTCAGTTTTGTTGTATTCTCTTCTGTCTATAATATCTTTATCTTTGATATCATCAATAATCATGTAATCATGTAATTGAGAAATTTCAGAGAGCCATAACACCATATCATAATTTTAGTGAAATATTTACTGCTGGGAGGAGGAAATTAAGTAAGACTGAAAAGGCCATTTAAAAACTAACTTTAGAGAAGCCTTTTCTGCAAAAACAGGTCATGCTTGCTGAGACAGAGGTGTCCTTAGATTTTTAAAGCTGGTACTGGCTTTTATTTATTTATTTTCTAGAACTTGTATTTCTGTTTAGTAAATAAGCTTTTAAAAATATGTAGATAAAACCTGCCCCTGTGTTTCTACTTTTCAGAGATTTTAAAATCACAGCTGCATAATATTTCTGCTTTTTCTCACTTCTTCCCTGCCTACCTTTTCTGTCATGCAGCCTGTGCAGTTTTCCCATAGGGGCATATAATAGAGTTCATCAAAGTGGAAAAAATGAAGTGAGTTATGCAGCCATTTGTTTACTCATGTACGACAGTAGTGGTGTTGATAGTTATCCAGAAATACTTTCATTTCTTTCGGCTGCTGAAAAGCTGGGCGTTGAAATGTCTTTTCAGATGAGACTCCAAGTAAAAAAGGATTAAATGGTGTCATGCTATTTACTGTCTTCTTAAGGCTGTTTGTTGCCTTGTACAAACTATGAGCAGGAATTCTTTTGCTCTGAATTTGATTAAATATTTAGGTAAGTAATGAAAAGTCCTGTTTTCATGGTATAGAAAGTCAAAGGATATTTATTGTTTTGTTATGATTAAAATATCAATTTATATTCTAAAATGGTGTTTATCTAGTTTTACAGGCACAAGCAATTTAATCTCCCCCAAAAAGTGCTGCCCTTCATGTTTTGCAATTAGTTTTTCCCCATTACTTCCCTGTGTGATTTCAAGATTCTGATTATCCTACTTGAGAACGTCTTTTTATGTGTAAGGCTGTATGTGTATCTACTGAAATGATGACTGCAGTTCGAGTGTAGGATTCCCTGCCTGCTCATTTTTCGTTTCCTGCTCCGTGGGGCTTGAGTTTCAGGAGCACAGAGCTAACAGCAGAGAACCTTCTGCATGAAATGCTGTAACAGTGTGCAACAGTAGCTTGGAATTGCTCTGATAGGGCTGCCTCTGATGGGTTCATCCCGGGGGGGGGGGGGGGTAAGAGAATTCCTGACAGCACGATCATCTGGTAGGAGCACTTTGCATTGTTTTTGTTACCAGCTTGTCTTATCTAAAGTTCAGAAAAGCTCACTAGGAGCCCAGTGGAATAGGGAAGAACTCTGCATTCCCCAAAAGAGCTGGTCTTTGAGGCCAGAGAAAAATCTGTGCAGTAGATATGCTCCATAATGAGCTGTGCTGTCACAGCTTTGGAGATCTGCAGTGTGTTGTGGCTTCCTTATAGCCAGCGGGTCTGGGTTTGCTTCCCTTGAACAATGTGAACCAGTGTGCTTGATGGTTTGGGCATCCATCAAGCCCCAGAAGTGTTTCTGCATGCTCAGATAGATATGGTCCAGTCTTCCAATGGAAAAGATACAAAAAAGGGAGCTTTTCACTTTTTATTGCCTGAGAGCACCACATTATTATACTTTCAACGTTGTTTCATGTAAGGCTAACTCTCTAACTGTTTTGCATAGTTTGTCCAGGTGATACGTTGAACTGCTGGTTGTTACGCTGAAATGATTAAAGGGTTGTATACTTTATAAGAATTTAGAACACGGACAGGACAATTCTGTATGCAGAATAAAATTAATGATGAAACTAAAACATGCCACCTTTGTCATGTGGGAAAGAAAAGCATTTTCTGTCTTAGTTAGAATCTGAAATCAAGACTTATGTCATTCTAAAGTTCGAACTTCTGTTAGCTTCCTTTCTGGTAGATTTTCCTATATATGAAAGTGGTATGTCTGACAACAGAAAATATTATTGCTTTGAAGTTTTTTTTGCATAAGTTATTTCTACATGTGTGTGGTATTGAAATCTTCATTAAAACTTCCATAGCTGACATAAGCAAAATGTGATGCATGTTTTAACCTATCCTTGGTATTAATTTCATTTCATGTACTGCACGTCTCACTGTCTTCCCATCGCTGTGTAATGTTGTGTAGTAAAATCTAAGACCAAAAATTGAAAATTATTTGGAATTAGCTTTCTGTATCCATAGCTGTGCATCCTGGGTTGATTTTCTGAGGACACGTTCCCCACAGTTCCATCTGTCCAGCTAGTGTAAGTGTAAAACAAAGATGCTGAGCATCAAGCATTCACCCCAAGCACTAGATTGCTCATGGTGCTATTTTCAGTGGCTGGACTACTTCTACCTTCTTAACACTGGGTATTCTACAGTGTAGCCATTCTTAACAAGTGGTAAAGAATCTGTCTTGGAGTCGCTGCTTCTTTTGTTAAATTCAAAATGAGCAGAGTTCAGTGATGTGAAAAGGCTCCTTGTCACCCTTTACTAGTAACTTATTTGTCATCAGAGTTTGATTTACTATCTCCCTGGCTGAGCAACTGCATGGGAGGTAATCAGAAGTTAGATATCATGGCTTTAGGAAGTGTGTTTTGTTTCCTTAATTGGTTTATATCCCACGTGTGCAGAATGTGACTCAGGATACCAAAAGGTTTTTGGAAGGTAAGCATTAAGGAATTTATACTCAACGTTTTTGTCATATCATATTTGTGCTATATTTATTTTTATATGATTTTCACAGTTCATTTTTACTATATATTTAATAATTTGCTTTTTCCTACATTATTCATCTGAGAGATCATTTCTTTCGTTTTCAGTGAATGTTTTTCAGTAGTACTTTTATCTAGTTTCTCATGTGAAAAAAAAAGACTGTTTTAAATACTCTTTAAATACTCTTTCCAGATATTTGGAATTAGCATTTTCCACAGAACTATTTCAAGAGAAAATAATCAGCAAGTAAGTAAAGAATTTTCTCTTATTCTCAGCTAACTGCATTCAGAGAATGAGAAGAACGCCTCCACTAGATGAACTGCAGCCACCTCCGTATCAGGATGATAGTGGTTCTCCTCATCTATCATGTACACCTTCTGAAGTTGGAGACAGTAAATGTGAATTTTCCCAGTGTAGCAACAGTCCAAGATGTTCATATAAGTGTCCAAGTGAGGGAAGCACAGGACATGAAATAGAAAGCTTCCATAACAAAGGATATGAAGAGGATGTACCAAGCGATAGTACAGCTGTCCTTAGTCCAGAGGTAAGTGAAAATGGTCTGAAGTGTCATATAGTACAACCTTTCTGTAGCTTTTTTTCCTAAAAAATAGTGTGCAGAAATTTGAGCATTTGTGTTACAGCTTATCCTTAAAAAAAAAAAAAAAAACAACTGTTTGTCAGAAAATATAATATAGTTATTGTTATGATGTCTCAACTTTCAACCGAGTTCCCAAAGAATGCAGATTATTTTGGAACCAGACAGAAACTTTGTCATTTTAAGGATTGAAATAAAAATTCTTTTTCTTCCACTTATTTTTTCTAACCTAATTTAAATCTAATCTTTTACATTAAAGCAAAAGCCGGAGAAACAAAAAGAAAAAAGGGATTAGCACTTTCCATGCTGAAGCAACTGATTATGTAAAATATCTCAAATGGTGAGGGGAAAAAAATTACAAAGGTTTTTTAAAAAATAGTTGATGATACAATGAAGATTTACGCCACTTAATTTCCCCCTCTTCCATTCTAAGCTATAGTGATATTTATTAATCATTGCTACAAAGAAATAATCTATCATTGACATGTCCTTGATGAGTTTTGAACAACCAGTTACTGCGCTGGTATGTAATGGGTACTGTGTTAACTGCTGTAGTGTGCAGAAAAGGCTTTTTTTTGGTATAAATCTCCCTTTTGATTTTTTCTCAAGTTTTGAAATGCGTGCCAGGGAGCAATGCTGATGTGTCAACAGCTGTTTCTGTCTTAGGAAACCTTTTGGTAAGCTGATGTTGCATTCTGAGGTGCTGGTGTAACATATGGAAGGCTCACCTTCTGTATGGAAGCAAGGTCCTCCAGCAGATAGCTGCCTACACGTGTCTGGTGGTCAGCTAGGGAAACAATCTGTGAATTTCATTGCTGAAAAAGACGTAGTGTGTACATATGATCCTCAAACTATAATAAATTACAGCAAATCTCTTTTTTCTTCCCATTATGTGTCATGCCAGTCAGTAGTGTAAGTGTATGTAATAGGAGAATACCATCAACATTTTTTACGGACACTCAGCAACTCCTACAGTGAGGTTTTCAGAGGAGTGAGTTATGAGAATAGCTAAGTAGCATCCAGCTTAAAATAAGAATGTAACATTTTTAGATCAAAAAGGCCATAAAAGATCTGGAGGTTGGTGGCCCTGCCTGTGGCAAGAGGGTTGAGTCTTGAGGATCCTTGTGGTCCCTTCCAACCCAAGCCGTTCTGTGATTATATGTCGTAACTATTTATAAAATCAAGCATAACTTTGAGAATATGGAAATACACAGTAGATATGTTTATTTTACATATTTGGGATAACTTCTTATGTATGTAGGATGTTGATCTCTTGTACCTATTGTTTCAGTATTGTCATCAGACTGGCTTTCTTAAAAACATAGCGGATCAGTCTTATTCCAAATTTAAAGTGTCAAGAAACAGTTTTAAAAATTAATTTTACAGTGTAGTTTCAGGACTGATGCCGTTTATGGAAAGTCCAGAAACTCCGTTCAGAACAGACACATCATATGCAGTGTTAGTAAAATTTCATTAATCAAGTCGTGATAATTTTTGGCACATCTATGGAACATTTTTGTAGCTGCAAGTGCAAATAAGTATTAAAATTCCTATATTCTTTGCTGGCATTACACCATGCACTCAGTCACCAGCCAGGTCTTAAAGTACCACAAAATGTTAACATAAAATGTGTGTATACTTGCACGAAAGTAAGGTAATTATATCTTGTAACATATGTGTATGCATTTTAGCATGTGGGGCAGAGAAGAAGAGATCGTAAGTATTGCCTAATTTAATCCAAGCTCTGTCTGATTGGCTCATGGCTTTTGTCAGTATTGGCCAGGTAAAGTCTTTTGATTTTATTTTTTTCTTGGATGCTAGTCAGCATCTCTTCAGGCTTTTAGTGTTTAATTACCTTGTTTATGAAATAAACAAAAAGATCACAGTCACTTCATATAGCTTAGAGAAAACCACGTATTTCCATGCTAGATTTAGTAATAGGATACAACAAATAAATAAATAAAAGCTTTTTTTTTTCTTTTTCAGGATATGTCAGCTCGAGGATCGTCTTCACAGCTTCCTAAACCTTTTGATCCTGAGCCAGTAGCTAAATATGGCACGTTGGATGTGACTTTTGACTATGACTCACAGGAACAGAAGCTTTTGGTGACAGTGACAGCTGTCACAGACATTCCCACGTACAGCAGGACAGGTGGAAGCTCGTGGCAAGTACACCTAGTTCTTCTCCCCATAAAGAAACAGAGAGCGAAAACCAGCATCCAGCGGGGACCGTGCCCTGTCTTCACAGAGACATTCAAATTTAATCACGTTGAGTCTGAGATGATTGGCAATTACGCAGTTCGCTTTAGACTCTACAGTGTACGTCGCATGAAAAAGGAGAGGATTGTGGGAGAAAAGATTTTTCACTTAACAAAATTGAATCTTCAGGGGAAGATGTCAGTGCCAGTGATATTGGAACCTTCTTACAGTCTGTCTGTGAGTATCAAATGAAGCAGAATAAGAATGTGGTGATATACATTGTCCTGAATTTTGTAACAATGGTATGTATATTTATAGCCGTCACATTCACTGGATTTTTTTTTCAACATTCATCATACTGGCAGAAAGATAATTTCCTTAAAGCTTCTGTAAGTACATTTACTTTCCACCTGCAAAAGCTGCCTGCATTTTTCTTTTTAATTACTTAGAATTTTCTAGTCTATAAATAGGCATGTGTATGTATGTATGAACACATATTACGTATATATACATGCAGAAGTATTGTCTTTACCCTGTGACCCACAGACCTTTCAAAAAAAAAAAAGGCTACCTACCTGATGAACAACTTTCCCCCTCAAAAAAATTTAACTATACTATTCTTAATAAAGCAAAGAGTGTAATTAAGGGCAAACTTAAACACCATCAAAAACCAGGAGTTTGGGCTGTATGTGCTATGTCCAAGCATTTAGTGGTGAGGGTGGCTGCCAATGGTACAGTAGATTCCAGATAAATCTTCTTTCTTCCCAAGGGAACTTCAGATTGCATCTCCTATTTTTCAGGAGATAAGATTTTAAGATTCATTTTAACAGTTTTTCCATCTCTATGGGCAGTATATCCCTTTTGATTTCTTGCAAATTTTAAAATAAGCTTTTGTCTAGAATGAGGTGTTTGTAATGTTCTGGTCAGGGCTTCATAGACAAAGAGTACATGAGTGTTGGTTGCCTAAGAGATTTCTGTGTTTTAAATAGACTTTGGGGAAAAAGAGATGATTTAGCAAGGGAATCTTTATTAACATGGTTGCCTGTTTGTTATTTTTTAACTAAAAGAGAAGGAGAAAGAAAGGAAAGCAAAAGGTATTTTCCCAGTTATGAACAAATGGAGTTCATTCTGCACTTTCCAAAAAAAGTTGAAGAAATTGGCATTTCTGTCAAAAACGAGTATTGCAAAAGACATTCAAAATAGAACGCTCTTTTATTTAGTGGCTAAAAGTAAGCCAATTAAAATCAACAACTGAGACCAAAACTCGCATCTGATAGAGTATCAGCTAGCAATAAAACAGCATTTCTGTTATTTGCTAAGAGGTATGAATCATTCTGTTTCAAGGATGAAGTGTTTCACTTCAGTAGTGTGAACTTTGCTAATGCTGAGTTTGCCAGTTCTGTAGCTAGGGAAATTAATGCCCCATGAAACACATGCACTGAATACTCTAAATTTATTTGCTACGTTTGTTTTGTATGTGTTCCCAATAGGGCCATTTTTTTTTTCTTACCAAACTTGGAAAGAAAGAGGGTAATGCTTTTAATTGATATATCCCTCAAGTGCATAGACAGGTTTTGGTGGGTATATCCATTTTCTACATAGGTTGTTCTTTATCACTTTCTTGAGCTTTTGTGGCAATGGGAGTGTAAACAAATTCCAGGAGGCATCACAGACAATGAGACTGGTTTTTATTTTCTGTGATGGTAAGGGCTTCTCTATCTTCTCTAATCTTTCCATTCTGGGGGAATGAACACAAATAAGGAATAGTGGTAGGAAGTGAAATATTCTTCCAGAATTGGTTACTGTAGTGGTGTTTAGGCAAATTTCTCTTAGGCCATTGCTTGAAAGAAATCTTCATAGTCTTGACAGCTTGAATAAGGATCACAGCTTTTTTTTTTTTTTTTTTTTGAACTATGCAAATCAGTTTTTAAAACTTTAGAAATTAGTTCCTGTGTTCCCTATAATTGCTTTATTATTTGTGTTATTATTTGTAAGCTATGTAATGCTCATATCATGAACAGATCTACTGTTTTATTTTGCAACAGTCTAAAAATTTGTCTGTTTGTTTTTTAATGTTTTACTGGAAGCAGGGGACCGTCCTCAGTCATTGTGTTCAAGCTGTTGTTATTACCAGCAGCCAGGTCAGCTTGATCACAGATTTGTGAATTTTCATCAGTAAACATCTGGGTGTTTCATTTCCAACCTGAATTTCTTCATGACTAACTTATACTAATTTATTCTTATCCAGCATTGTCATTCAACTTAATTAGTTCTCAGGTGTTTACCTCTGGGTGCAGCTATACACTGTTTGCATTCTTTCTCAACTGTGCTTTTACTAGAATGGAGCAATGATTTTTGTGCCCTTCTAATTGTAAGCCAGGCAGCAATTACTTAATAGGAGAAGGTAAGTGTTGTTTCACCTTGGAGACGTTCAGGAATGTTTGTAATTATTAAATCCATGATGAGGAACATTGTAAGTTCTGAATTTAAATTTATTTTGCTCAGTGGAAGAGTGTTGTTTTGTATTGAGAAATGTTTGTATTTGATAGCTTTTTATGAAATTAGAAATGGGCAAATGTCAGTTACCCTGTTTTTTTTCCACTGCTTCTCATTATACAGATTTTATATTAAACTGAGATTTCCTAATCCATTGAAACATCTGACTACTTGCTAACTACTACTACATGCTAACTACTTCTGCAGGAATGTATTTTATTTCTCTGTCTGTGCCTCATAAAATATTAATGTATTTTTATTAGCTAATTGTCTGCCTTATGATTGTACAAGAAGTTCATATCCTGTGAAGTTTAGTACTTGTTTCAGTTTTACCCTAACACTATTCACAGGAGAATCTGAGTAAGGTGAGGCAGCGAGTTTAGTGCATTTCCAAAATAGTGGTATGTTCACGAGAGCTGGGTGTGCTGCTTTCTCTGCTTATTGTTAAAATGCGGACAAGTACATGACATGGTGAATGTATATTTGTATGCTCCTTAAATAGATTTCAAAGCTCCACAAGACTTCAAATTTACAAATATATTTACAAATCTTCTTACCCAAGATTTCAGCCTGTTCGTCACCTTCTAACATTTCATATAACATCTTGTATTAGCAGCTTTTGCATAGTCATTCACTGAGTTGTTCTTGTACCATGAAAAGGTATGTTTCCATTTAATAGTTCCTCTTGAAAAACTCCTTTCTTCCTCTGCGTTGTTTCCATTGCATTTATTCTATTCCTTTTCTGCTTCTATAGTTCTGACTCTTCCATCATGTTCCCCAAGACCACTTTAGTATATGTTTGCTACAGTTCTCCCACGTAACCAGGGAATTCCTCTTCACACACTATTTTCAGCTCTCATCACACACTGACTGAAATATCTCAGGCTTTCTTCCACATTCAGTATACAGGCAAGAAGCAACAGAACCAAAATGAGCTAGACAGAGTGTATATGTTGCTGTTACCTGAATCTCCATGACCCTTTTGGATTTAATAGAAATTGTCCATCAAAGGTAACATATCAGTGTTACCGTTACTTTGCCTGAGTATAGTTTGCTTAGGAAGACCTGATGCTTTCAGAGAAATTCTACATTTAACACAATGTAGTCAAATTTTTGTTCTTTTGTATTGGAGTTCTGAATCCATTGCAATACGGTTTGTTTTTCTTCAAGAAGTCCCTGTGGAATTATTCTCAGTTGCACTTTGTTCTTCTTACTCAAGGAAATTTTCTTGAGAGTGAAGCACAGCCTCTACTGTGATGTGATAAAAAAAAATCTTAATTGCATTTTACTGAGGAAAATCCATTTGGAAATGATCAAAAAACCAAATGTAGTCCTTGTCATCATCTCACAGGTTTCTTTTCTGATGCAGAATGAAAACTAACGATGGTGTGTTTTATTTTTTTTATTTATTTTGGAAGTACAGTTTAGAAGATAAAAATGCTAAGCAAATCTAGTAATCTTTTATCTTGCATTGTCAATAACAATATGTGGAGAATTAAATTTAACTTTCTTTCCAAAGAAAGTTTTGATATACTGAACTCCTAAATGTGACCCTTACGTCGAGGAATGAATGGTATGAGCAATCATTTGTGCATTAAGGATTATTTTTGTGTATCTTCTCTATAAATAACCAGATTGTCTGAGAAATGTTTTAATTACATTTTTGAACAATATAAATATTTCTTCTTGCAACGTATAGAAATACTTTCAGTGTTGAGAATGGTGGTTGTTTAATATGCTTGTTTGTGTTAACCATCTCATGTACACTTCCTTATGTGTTGTGCTTAAGGAATTTTTTTCTATGTTGCTCTTTGTGTGGCGCATCTTCACTATTCTTTCTAATGGATGTTTATCATTTCATAAACTGATGAAAAAGAACTTTCAGAAGGCCATATTTTTCTTGGGAATTCTTGGCCACTGTAGAGTCGAACTGACAGGTTTTGTGTAAATCCAGTATTTTCGTCCTTTGCTGCTATATGCTTATAGTATGATCTATTCAGGTTTTAATTTGGAAGGCTAAATATTAAAGTTTGTGTGCAATAGTTGTATTTTACTAAACTGTAGCTACCATTTTGATACTTTAAATCACTTAGTGAAAAGATAATTGTGACTCATCTAGGAAAGAGATGATTTTTTAATAGTATTTTATTTATATTTATATATGTTCCCTTTCAATATTTAAAGGAAGCTTATAAACAAGAGGGAAACTAGCTTCTTATATAGCCTGATAGTATTAGGACAAGGGGGTTCATTTTGAAACCAAAAGAAGAGAGATTTAGATTAGGTATTAGGAGAAAAATTTTCACTTAGAGTGCAGTGAAGCAGTGGCACAGCTGCCCAGAGAAGATGTGGGTGCTCCATCCCTGGAAGTATTCAAGACCAGGTTGGATGGGGCCTTGCATAGCCTGAGCTGGGGGGAGAAGCCCTGACCATGGCACAGGGTTGGGATCTCTAAGGTCCCTTCCAACCCAAACCATTCTTTGATAATGATTCTATTATTCAATTAGAATTCTACAAAAAAGGATTGGTTCCAATGTCATGGTGCATAAATGCTTCCATTTAGCTTGTAAACATTATATCCATAGAAGGAAGACTTAATTAAGCATCAAACACATTGTTATGAGGGGAATAGTTGTCAGAGTTCATTTGAATAAGTGGTGTAAAACACCAATCAAAACTTCTTCTTTTACACAATAAGTCTGCACTTTTTTGAAGGATGTTATAAGATGATTGGAAAGTGG